ACAGCTCCTCTTCCAAGAAGACGGGCAGGTGAGCGGCAGTGCCTCCCCGGGGCCAGCTCCGAGTGCTCCCCGGCAGCCATCTGCTCACACAAACCCTCCCCTGCCCAGCTTGCAGTGCCCCTAGTGCAGGGATCTCCCCAGAGGTTCCTGGGCCTTGGGGCATACTCGCTGTCTCCAGCAGTTCCCATGGGTCCCTCCATGGGTGTGGAGCCATGTCTGCCACCCGAGCACCTTAAGCCAATCTTCTGACTCCAGAGACGTGGAGGTCTCCAAAGAAGCAGGGCTGGCAGCGGGCTGAAGCTGCCACAGTCCCTTCCCCAGGCTGCCCGCACCCCCCTCAGCTTCATCTGTCTCTCTCCCAGCATCTTTGACCGCGAAGACGAGAGTGCCTCCCGGCAGAGCAGCCTGGCTGCGCTGGAGCGGCGCCAGGCTGAGAAGAAGAAGGAGCTGATGAAAGCTCAGAGCCTGCCGAAGACATCGGCCTCACAGGCTCGCAAGGCCATGATGGAGAAGCTGCAGAAGGAGGGCGGGAGGTGAGGCTGGGCTCAGGGTGGGCTGGCTGGGGCAGCGAGTGCTGCGCGGATAACCCCGTATCTTCCGTCGCAGCTCGCCGAACCCCGTGGCAGCACGCACGGCCGTGCAGCGCTCCTCCAGCTTTGGCGTGACCAACGCCAACAGCATCAAGCAGATGTTGCTGGACTGGTGCAGAGCCAAGACCAGGGGCTACGAGGTGAGTGCCGCCTCCTCTCCCCATCCCTAGGGCTGGTCGCTCTGTCCCTCGGTAACTCTCCTGCTCTCGCAGCACGTGGACATCCAGAACTTCTCATCCAGCTGGAGCGATGGCATGGCCTTTTGTGCCTTGGTGCACAACTTCTTCCCTGAGGCGTTTGACTACAGCCAGCTGACACCCCAGAACCGCCGCCACAACTTCGAGGTGGCCTTCTCCTCTGCAGAGTATGTAGCTGTCGTGCCATCACGTGGGCTTGGGATGGCTCGGGGCGGCGCTCCTGCTCAGTGCCCAGGGCAAGAGGGGATGTGGGCAGGGGCATTGGTGCTGGAGGTCGGCACTCATCAGGATCACTCCCCCCATGTCATGCAGCAAGATTGGGACGCTGTGGGGAAAGCAGTGGCTGCGTGGATAGAGCCATGAGAGGCCAGTGCAGCCCAGTCTGGCATGGCGAGGGTGGGCATGGGGGTGCTGGGCTTCCTGGGTGTGGGGCAGAGCACCCAAAGGCAGGGCAGCAGCTACCCAAGCACACCTAGCTGCAGGCAGTACAACCCATGCCAGGGTGCCGGGTGTGGGACCACAGCCCCTGGGGAGCAGGGCTCGTCCGTGCCAGGCGCCTCCTTTCACAGTCATAGGGGCTCAAACACCATCGCAGCTTCTCCAGTCTCTTCCCTTCCCCTTTTGCTTCTGGTTTTCCTGGGTGCTGAGAGACGGGAGCGCGTCCAGCTGGAGGGCTGGCAGCCAGCCCCTCTCTCCTTCCTTCTGTCTCTCCCACCCACTCCTCCTACCCTCCAGCACCCTGCCCAGGGGGGCGCGTGGGGGTCCCATCCTGGCCAGTGCACAGAGTGGTGGCGTGAGCTGGGAGCTCCCGCGAGCTCCCTGGGCGCCGCGGTGCTGTTCAGTGGAGCGAGAAGGGGGCCACGTGCCTGGCTCTTGGTGCTCCTGGTAATTGACTTTTTGCCTTAATTGGGGAACCGGTGCGTGGACTTGAGAGAGCCATCGATCTCTCCAGCCTGGAAGCCAGGTGGCCTCTCGTCCTTCCTCCTCCTCCTCCAGCTCTTGTGAGCCTCTTCTCCCCAGCTTCCTGCACCAGGGCTGTGCCGCGTGGTTCCAAGCGGAGCTGGGCAGGAGGGCTGGGCTTGCCCCCCCCATCCTCCCGGCGCTTCTATATAGGGGTTATATAGAGCGCCGCTCCACTCTGGAACCCACTCCTCAAGCACCCGGCGTGCCAGAACACCTCACTCCTCCTCTGCCTCCATCTGTCCTTCCCTCTGGACCTCACGCCTCTCCACGCCGCTCACCCGCCCTCCCCCTCCCTTGCTTGTGCCCCCCCCAGATCTCACTGAATGGCCTTGGCGCAGCGGTGCCCGGAGCCCTCCTGCCCCTGCATCGCGCACCCCCGGAGCATGCGGGAGCAGAG